TCCGACCGGATTTTGGCAAAAAAAGTCAGTTTTGATTTCGTTCAAAAAATATAATATGTCCGTTTTGACGAAATGGCTGTTAGATAGAGTCTTCACCCGAATACAACGTGCGGTCATTACAACTGAATTTGGGGCATCTTTCAGTTTAAAGACAACTATAATGAACGTGCGTTGTGTTCCTGGGAAGAAGGTGGATGGCGCAGCGAGGGAGAGAGATCGCGAACTGATTGAGAGAGATGGCGCACCGATGGAGAGAGATTGCGCACCGATGGAGAAAGATGGCGCAACAATGGAGATAGCAGGCGCAACGATGGTTAGCGATGGCACAAGAATGGAGAAAGATAGCGCACCGAAGGGGATATAAGGTCAAAGATGGCGCGGCGATGGAGATAGATTGGGAAAGATGGCGCAACGATGGAGATAGATGGAGAAAGGTCGGGACAGATCGAGCACCGATGGAGAGAACAGGCGCAACAGTGGTTAGCGATGGCGCACCGATGGAGAGAGCAAGCGCAGCGATGGTTAGCGATGGCGCACCGATGGAGATACATGGCACACCGATGGAGCGATTTGGCGCAGCGCTGACCAAGATTAGTTATTGCACAACATCATTTCATGCCTGACTAATGTTGATCTACAGATCAGCTCATTGGTCAAAGTGACAACCATCGCGTTAAACGTTCGTTAGGCATACCTGACCCTTCTTTCGTGTGCTTCCACAATGATGGGCGGCTACACCGACGGCGGACTGAAACAACAATACAATTGGGATGGCGGGATAGCGTAGGAGCGATGGAGATAGATGGCGCAGGGATGGAGGTTGCCCGGTGGTCGAGAGAGATCACGCAGTGATGGAGTGAGATGGAGAGTGATCACTCAGCGATGGAGAGAGATCGTGCGGCGATGGTGAGGGATCGCGCAGGAGCGATGAAGAGAAATCGCACAGCGACGGTGAAGAGATCGTGAAGGCGCGATGGAGAGAGATGGCGCAGCGACGGAGAGAGTCTGCGATTAGCGATGGAGAGATATGGCGCGGCGATGGAGAAGAGTTCGCGTAGATGGCACAGCGATGGAGAAGAGTTCGCGCTGATGGCGCCGCGATGGAGTGAGTCCGTGTTGGAGACGGATGGCGCAACGATGGAAAGAGATGGTGCGGCGATGGAGATAGATGGCGCAGCGAGGGAGAGAAATGGCGTAGCGATGGGGAGAGATGGCGCAGCATATGGCCCAACGAATCAGCGATGGAGAGGGATGGCGGACCGATGAAGAGAGATGGCGCAGCGCTGCAGTGGGAGCGATAGCGATGGCCAGCGCTGAGATAGCATCGATAGCGATGGCGAGGGCTTCGATAGCGATGGCCAGCGCTGCGGTGGAGAGCGATGGCGCACCGGTGGAGAGAGATGGCGTGACGATGAGAAAGATGGCGCAACGATCAGTGTCGTACCCGTGACCGTGACCGGAACGGGTCATGTGAACGTGACCGGCCGTTCATTTGGTGTTTTTTTTGTGAACGGCCGTTCACAGTGAACGGGCCGCCCGCTTAAGAGTGGTGTTTTTTTTTTTTTTTTTTTTTTTAGGCCTTCCCAGGTACATTCGCCTCAAGCCCCACAGCGTGATGACATTAGGAAAAAAAAATAAATCAAAATGACCTACAAAATAGCAAACGAAAATGCTTATTTTGGCTGGTTGATTTTTTTTTTTTCGTTTTTAATTAAAAAAAATATTATTCCTTGAAAAAAAAAAATTGAAAAAATTATAGGGAGTTGCCCTCCGATA